CCCAGCCCCAGCCCCTCACCCTTGTCTAGCCATAGTGGTTATTTGGAGACACAGGTCATAGGCAGAGGGTCTCCTGGCCACCCCAGCCACAGAGCCAGGGGAACTCGGATGCCTCCCCTGTCCCAGCCCTTCTCGAACCCCCAAACCCAGTCATGCGTCCCAGAAATACTCCTGTCCACACACCTCTTCGCATGTGACTGCAAAATGTGAAATCGAAACGTCGTTTGTTTTTTGTTTTGTTTTTTTTAAAAAAAACTTCCACCCCGTGGGTCCGGCGTCTAGCCTGACGCCCTCATTTCTCTGTAAATATGTGACTCGGAACACATGTTTAAAACGAACGAGGCGTTGTCACGAATGCATGGTGTTGAGCTGTTTTGCACTATTCTGATTTTTTTGGGGTCTCTGTAAAAATATTTTATTAACAGCAAGACATTAAAAAAAGGAAAAGCACACTGACTGGATGCGTGATGGCCTTCTTGTCTCGCACGTGTAGAGTCACCATGCATTTAGTCCTCAAAGTGGGGTGTTCTCATTTGGAGGGAAGGCAAGGAGGCACAGGGAGATGTGAACATTTGCCCAGATCACACAGCCAGGGAAGAGGGAGGATGAGATCGCAACCCAGGATGTTAGGCAACTATTCATCTTTAAAAAAAAAAAAAAAAAAGAATGATTGGGATCAGCAGTTAGCATAATGGCTATGTCACTAAACTCCCATGTAGTCAACCACAGTTCAAGTCCTGGACACAGTGGCTTAAAACTCACGCCAGGCGCGTGTGCGTGCGTGCCCAAGATCCCAAGAAGAGAATGGAGGAGAAGGGATTGCGGCATGGTCATCTCCCCTGGGGGGTGATTTCTCGCTTTCTATCTCTCTGTCTCTGTCTTTCGCAATCCCTTCTCCTCCATTCTCCTCTCGGGATCTTGGGCACGCACGCACACGCGCCCGGCGTGAGTTTAAGCCACCGGGTCCGGGACTCGAACCGCGGTCGACTACGTGGGAGTCCAGCGACATAGCCATTACGCTAACTGCTGGTCCCAGCCTGGGAATTTCAAAAAGATACATATTCAGGGACCAGCAGGTGGTGGGTGATTAAGGCACTGGATCTCACATATCCAGCTGTGTAGTTCAAGTCCTGGACCCGGTGGCTTGAAAAACACACTGGGTATATGTGCGTGCATGCCCAAAATCCTGAGAAGAGAATGAGGGAGAAGGAATTGTGGCATGACCATCCCCCTGGGATCTGCTTTCTCCTTTCCTCTGTCTCTCTCCAGTAAGTGCACATGCCCTATTGTAAAAGCTAAAAAAGAAGAAGAAGAGAAGAAGAAGAAGAAGAAGAAGAAGAAGAAGAAGAAGAAAGGAAAAGAAAAAAAAGATAAATATGGGGTCAGGAAGTGACATGGAGGTTAAGATACTGGATTGCACATGGCCAACTGTTGTTCAAGTCCTAAACTTGGCAGCTTGGAGAGGGTTTTTT